CTAGCACCAGTCAAACAAAGAGTGAAGGTTTAGCTAGGGTTTAGGGTTTAAACTTTAAGGGTTGGAAAAGACATGCGATAGAGGATAAGAAAAGTTAAGAGAAGATAGTGAAGAAGGACATTTAAAAGAGAGTGTGCTCTAGGACAAGGTGCAGTAACCCTGTTCAGAAGTAGCCTGGGGCCCAGAACTCAGCCCCAGGCAACGCAGACCTGAGTTGGTCTGCGCTGGGCTGTGTGACCAAGACACGCCCAGGCCTGAGTCTGTCACGTTTGGCTGTGTGATCTAACGCGGCACACAGGAAATTCAAGGGTCAAAGTCAACTGTAGAGTCAAAGGTACCGCACCCAGGCCCTTGGTTGGATACACTCACTTGTTGTGCGCCAGATCGAATTCGGTTTCAGACCAATCTGGGCCTTAGTTTGCATCAAGATCTGGACGGCTGAGGGTGGTAGCATCCGGGGCCCAGACCCCGAGTACTGGCTTTGACATTCATTGTCTTACGTGGATGCTGTCTTCACGCGTTGACGATGACTGTGGCTCGACGCTGCGAAGCTGGCTGAGCGCTGGCTCTGTGATGGCATTGTGTCTATGGCGACGCGCTGCTGGTCCGACATGGTGGCTGGCTTGCACCTGTCTTCTTGGCATGCTGACGTGGCGGCTGCCATGCGCTGTCGCTGACGTGGCTGCTGCCACGTGTACTGCTGGTGGCTGATGTGAGAGCTGCCACGTATACCACTGGTTGACGAGGCGAAGCTATGTGACTTGTGTTGCTGTTCTGATTATCGTCGTTCAGGAGGAGATCAAGACTGTGGAGAGGTCGTGGATACTTACCTGGTTGTTTTCATGTCGACATTGCGCCATTGCTGACGAGGGACTGACTAGACGTGCCACGTGGCACATTGAGGTTACTTCAGATACTCGCTCAGATTATTGTTGAGGTGGTGATTGTGGAGGGAGCCCGAAGAACCAGTGGGCATTGTTTCTATCTTTCCCACTCTAAGTCTTTCCTCCTTCTCATCTACCTCGTCTGTGTATGTCTTCTCTTCTCTTGGGTATCTGGACACGAATACGATTATTGATAATCATCAGCAGGTTGACACTCATTTGGACTTGCATTGTTGACAACTGTCTTCACGATATGGGTTCATTGCAATGTGGTATCGGAGCAGTTCTCTTGACGACGACGACAGTCACACGTGCGCACGCGCCAGGTGGCGTGCAGGTAAGTGGGCATGCACACGTGTGCTGAGGCAGTGATGACTTGACAAGACGTTACCGCCGGAGTTGCTGATGTGGTAGAGACTTCACTGGCGAGAGAAGATCCTAATGTGGCTGTTGACGTGGCAGTAGGGACCGCGACCGAGAGTTACCGCGCGCCAGCCTGGATCGCGATAGTGAAGTGGCATCGTGATCCCTTGTTGACGTGGCATATCATGTGCCGCGTCTGAAGACCTGGTTGTTGGTGATTGCTGACGTGGCATTCTCAAACTGCATTAGCAGCTTATGTGCGACCAGGTCTGTTACAGAAGCTGACGTGGCCTTTGGGAAGTGAGGACTGATTGCTGACATGGCAGGGAAGAAGTCATCACACCAGTCTTCTTGAGGTGGACTGATGTGGCATCGGTCTCCATTGGCTGACGTGGCATTGTCCAATTGGCTGGAACGGCGACGGTATCACGAGACGACACGTGGAAGAGGCACGTGAAAAGGACAGTGCACACATTTGCTGGCATGGCATCCCCTTATTGATTGACTAGACACTAGTGCTGATGTGGCAGGATCTGCTATGTTAGCACTCCAGGGATGACACGTGGCCTTTTTTATTGTCATTATAGTATTATGGGGAACCCCGTAGCAGCCACATCCGTGCTCAAGCCTCCAACGAGGGAACATGCGGGAGCTGCACCCACCAGCAGGTACGATACCTGCTACAGCAGGTGGGCGATACCGGCCAGGGGTCAGCTGGTAGCATCAGGACCGAGCTTCTTCGATGGCCCAGTCACTGTGCCTCCCCTCCAGTCCCCTCCCCCTATGAACATCAGCAGTCTCTGCTCAATGCCACTCGGGGGGACCAACAGCATATCTCTAGGTGGCGGGTGCCAAGCTTGCCCAGGAAGGTGCATGAGGTCAATGGGGATTGAACCCAAGGCCTCCTGAATGCCACTTGTGTGCCTTACCAACTGAGCTACGCCGCCGCTGAAAAAAAAAAAAAAAGAAGCACATATAACTATGAGGCCAGAGACCAAAGTGATGCTTGAAAAAGGAAAAGGTATCATCGTAGAGATGAATCTTTCTGCAGCTAGCGAGCCTGCGGTTTTGGGCAAAAGAAATTACCATATTGTGATGTGTAGTATGCACAAGGCCTCGGCACACATTCACCACAGCATGCTGATCTGCGATTACTAGTGATTCCAACTTCATGTTCTGGAGTTGAAGCGAACAATCCGAACTGAGGCAATGTTTGTGGATAGTGTTGATTATTGCTGATTGCAGGGTTACTGGCATTCGGCTGGGCCCGAACAGGATTAGCTGAACGGCTGACTGTTCCGACCCCCCTCCCCCGAACCGTTCGGCCGAACGTCGAGTTTGTTGCTTTTTTCATTTTTTGCTATTGTGCGATGGACTCCCTTCCCCCTCCAAAAAAAAAAAAAAGGAACTTCCATTGATTGTGTTCTATCGAGCTAGAAATTTCCTGAATGTATTGGACCTTGAATGTGTGATTGAGTGCAGCGGAATTTCATTCACAAGTCAAACACAGAAGGGGCGCGGGAGGGGGGGAGAGAGAGAGAGAGAGGGTGCGCATGCCCTCGCCCTCTCTCTCTCTCTCTCTCTCTCTCTCTCTCTCTCTCTCTCTCTCTCTCTCTCTCTCTCTCTCTCTCTCTCTCTCTGCATGCACGCACGAGAGAGAGAGAGGGCGCCCGTGCACACACCCTCTCTCTCTGTGTGGACGCTGTCGGAGGGCACGGTGTCCCGGCCCTCCGCAGTGCATCATGTATGCCTGCCATGTGGTCCTGTTCCTGGACTGGTTCCAGTGTTCACCCCTTACTGCAAAAGGGCGGGGTGAGGCACTGGGCCTTCCTTTGGTCCACGCGGGTCCAGCGCCCTGGTGTACAGCAGAGCATGCAACTGGCCTGTGCTCGTGGTAGCGGCAGGGCTCGGCCAAGGGTGCTGCACGCCGAGTATCAGACTGCCGAGTTATGGGATATGTGCACTGGTTGTGGTCTTAAGCAGAAAGAAGAAAAAGAATAGGGGAAGGAAAAGAAAAGAAGCAAAGCACCGCGCAAATCAGAACCGTAGTTTTAGTACTGATTGATCTAATGGCTGGAGAAAGCCGCAGGGATGTGACTTTTCGTTTTCATCACCTTACCTTTTTTTTTTCTTTTTTTTTTTTGGTTTCCTACCCTAATTTTCACAGGAACGAACGGCTCAATTTTCGTTTGAAAAATATGGCCCAGGTTGGCTGGATTCTCCAAATTTCCGCTTTGCATTCTAATTTCTTTTGGGATACCAGGCGTTCTGGGTTAGACTCTCAAAAAGGGTACCCATGGCCGCTTTGGAAGGAAACTCATCACCTCCCATGGAAGGTCATGAGCCCCCTCCTTACCATCGGACACGGGCCCCTGATAGTAGTGGTCCCAACACTTCCTTTCAAGGGAGGCTTGTTGGGATCCCGTTAGGGGACCGTACTACGTGTCGAGCGCGTAGGCCTTTCAACTTAGACTGGAAAAAACAACTGGCACAGGCCATAGGGGCACACCTATTTAGAGATTGTTTAATTTGTTTTGTTTTGATTACTTCAATTTTATTATTGTCGAAGTTATTATTACAGGAACCATTTATTTAATTAATTGTTTCCAAAACTTTAAAGTCCTCCGTTTAGTGCGCAGGAACCCTGACTTCTACTCATTTCTATAAAGTGAGGCCGTGGGAACCACTTCGCTACTTGCCAGTAGACTAGCTAAGAGTACCTTGCTGCTTTCAGCCGATTAGTTGGGAGCGCAACGTGAGAGATTGAGCATTCGGGCAAGTGGTTACATCCAGTTGATTTGCAGCGTGGTGTTGGCAGCTATGTGCCAGTAGTGTTAAGCCTGTGTGGGACCAGGAGGTGGGTGCAACTATGGCTTGCCACAGAGGGTTGCACGGCTATAGGCCAAGGTACCTGAACTATGTGTGGAGGTGGGAACCGGAATCAGAGGATGGGCATGATAACGGTGATTTTAGACTATGGGCGTTACGA